GAGACCACCTGGATTTACCACGACGGCGAGGACACCAAGATGATCGTGGGCGAGGAGAAGAAGTTCCTGCTGCCCTTCTGGCTGCAGGTGATCTTCATTTCTCTGCTCCTGTGCCTGTCGGGCATGTTCAGCGGCCTCAACCTGGGACTCATGGCCCTGGACCCGATGGAGCTGCGCATCGTGCAGAACTGCGGCACAGAGAAGGAGAAGAATTACGCCAAGCGCATCGAGCCCGTGCGCAGGCAGGGCAACTACCTGCTGTGCTCGCTGCTGCTGGGCAACGTGCTGGTCAACACTACGCTCACCATCCTGCTCGACGACATCGCCGGCTCAGGCCTCGTGGCGGTGGTGGTCTCCACCATCGGCATTGTCATCTTTGGGGAGATCGTGCCCCAGGCCATCTGCTCCCGGCACGGCCTGGCTGTCGGGGCCAACACCATCTTTCTCACCAAGTTTTTCATGATGATGACCTTCCCCGCTTCTTACCCGGTCAGCAAGCTGCTGGATTGCGTCCTGGGCCAGGAAATAGGCACCGTCTATAACCGGGAAAAACTGCTGGAGATGCTCCGGGTCACAGACCCCTACAACGACCTCGTTAAGGAGGAGCTGAACATAATCCAAGGGGCTCTGGAGCTCCGCACCAAGACGGTGGAGGACGTGATGACTCCTCTCCGGGACTGTTTCATGATCACCGGCGAAGCCATTCTGGACTTCAACACCATGTCGGAGATCATGGAGAGCGGCTACACTCGCATTCCAGTATTTGAGGGGGAGCGCTCCAATATCGTGGACCTCCTCTTTGTCAAAGACTTGGCTTTCGTGGATCCAGATGACTGTACTCCCCTGAAAACCATCACTAAATTTTATAACCACCCCTTGCATTTTGTTTTCAATGACACCAAGTTGGACGCTATGCTGGAAGAATTTAAGAAAGGTGGGAAATTTTGGTATCTTTCATTAGCTTGCTCTTTCTCTCTCCATTCCTCCTTCTTGCTTAAATCCTCTACCCTCAGACCAACCCCCTAAGGCGAGTTGACCGGAATTTCTCCTCTTTTTAATTGCATGGTTGAAAGGATGGCATGGATTTGAGGATGGATTGAACTAGTAAGTGCTTCTCGGTTCTGTAAAAACACAAGACTGCCGTCACTTGCTTTTTCCCATATCAAAAAGCAGGCTTCCTATTTTCTATGCATGGTACTCTCTTCTGCACTCTGGTCTTCGGGGGTCTGCTGCATTCATTGCCTGGATTCTGAGTGGGTAGATGGAAGTAGGGGACCCTGATGCCGTGCTGTATGTGGCATTTGGTTGACATGTGCTAATTGCAGGCACTTGGAAAATGTTTAAATAGGTTTTCTAAACCCAATACAATCACGGACGTTTCAGAGATTGGAAGGACATTTTCAATAGCTTTTGTTCCGGATTGTCTGGTGGCCTGTGGGGTAGGGGTTGGGGGTAGGGAGGGAGATTAAGGTCTGCTTTTGAGAATAGGGCTGGAGTAAGCCAGGTATCACCAAAAAAATTCACTCATTTAGATGACCTGCCTTAGCTAGAAAAGAGGGTTTTTTTTTTTTTAAACTGAAGTTATTTGTCAATATGTTAACTTGGAAAGACTAGAGGTAAGTTAACCCTTTATGAGATTCTCTCTTGCTTTGCTCTCTTCATTGTTTGTGTTTACCTGACAACAAATAAAATCTCCCAAACCAAGTGCGGTTGGCAGAAACCTTGAACCTTTAGCAATGGGATAGATTCCTCTGTTATGGTTTATTTATTTCTTGAGTCTCTGGTTTAAAAGTGCTCTTTTTAACCTTGGTCGCCTGGGACATTAAATTGAAGTATATCTCCAAGTCAGTGCTCACTGTTCCAGGGAGTTTTAAGAGGGAAAAAAGGTGCAGAGTGTGTGGGGTGCTCACCTTTCTTGCATCGTGGTGTTTGTGGTTTGTTTTACTATGTAATAAACAGATCAAGAGCAACTCAGACTATCACTTCTGAAATTCTGCTTTTAAAAAAATTTCCAGTAAATGGCTAGTTTTGTTATTTGAAAACCAAGGGATACTGAGTTTTTAAATTGCTGTGATGCTGGTTGGTGCATGTTCATGTATTAAAATACGGATGTAACCTTTAATGAACTGATACCCCTCAAAACTAAATTTTCCTTCTTCAAATAGAATTTTGATCACTGATGTGGTCTCTCCACTGAAGAAGGCCACGTGTAAGTGGTGACAGCTCACTGGATGTGATGATCTGAACATAGAGTGTGTAGTTGTCCCAATTCCATTTTCCTGCCTGAATGGTGTCCTCTCTGGAACAGAATCACATTGCAGTAATTTTCAGATAAAGGAATAGAGCAGAATGTGCTTCAGAGATTGCTAATTTGCATTTAAAAGCAGAAGGAGATTCTTCTGGATTCTTAAACAGTGAAAAGAAAATGTCCATTATCTCTAGGTGACAAAACTTCTTTTGGGGGTGTCATTCTCTCACAACTAAATTGTTATTTAGAGCATCTGAGCAATCTCTCCTTTCATTTTGCAGTAGTATCTGTAATACAGAAGAGAATCTTGAAATGCTTGAACATGCCTTTGAAATACTTTATTTTCTTTCTGTTGCTAAATTTCCCAATATTGATACAGGTAATTTATTCTTTTTTATAATTATTCAGAATGTTTGCATATCTATTGATGGATTGAAAGCACTGGGGTATACTCGCAGCTGAAGTCTTTTCTCCACTTCTGTATCTTTTTTATTTTGAGAATTTAGTTCTGTACCTCACAACTCATTAGTCCTGCCCCTAACTCACAATTTCAAAATTTGCATTATTTTGAAATTTGTTTTTGATTGTCCTTGAACAGTTTTCCTATGATTTATTTTCACTGGGAACTTCCCCCACCTCCCACTTCCCAAATTGCCTCACAGTATTTTCTTTGAAATGTATCCTTTGAGTGATTGAATTGCTAATATTTTCCCATTAACTCAAAAAAATGTAATGCACAAGATTTTATTTTTGTCCGTGATCAGAATGATTTATTTGGTTAAGAAGATAGTACAAGTTAAAGGTACATTCAAGCTAGTGGTATATTCTAAAGAGCAGGCAAAGACAGTTGTTTGCCAATGGGAAGTTTAAGCCATGATCTTAAAAGGATAGAGTGGGTGCTTGTTACTTGAAGTATACGAATAATTGATTTTTCACTGTCTCTTTCTTGATCTGTTTTTCATGAGTTTGGCCACTTTAACCTTACTAACAGCTGTGGTATTTCTTTCTTCTGTGTTAGTTAAAATACTCCACCTGATTTTTTTTATTTCTTTCTCATTTTCTAATTCAATTATGAAATAATGTGAACAGTCAACCTTCTTTTGTTTTTCTCTATTGAATAATGCTATGTGGGGGTGGTTTGAAGACTTTTCCTTCTTCTCTTTTCCTCTTTCTCCTAACAATACCAATTGTAACTCCCCCAAACTGGTCAGATCTTTAGTCCACATCTCATTGAAAACTACCCTTCCCAATTAAATGTCTGCATTTTTGAAGCCTTTCCTATATACAGCTCGACAGCATTAGTCTGACTTATTCTTTACTAACAAGGGGGAAGTCTCTGTAATGTGGAAAGAAATGAAAAGCTACCTTTCCATAGTGTATGTAAATATCTTCTTTCTGATGATTGGAACTTTTTGCCTGGCTACCAGGGAACTCATAGTTTTACCTGAGGTGGGAAGACAGTTATTTTGATCACTGATATTTTGATCACTGAAATAACTAGTTTCACAGTTAGCTTATTATTATTACTCAGTTACTTCCTCCATACCAGGTACAGGGCTGAATGCTTTATACATGAATCACCTTGTTTAAATCCCATGATAGTTGTGGGAAGCATTTTCTCCATTGTACAAATGAGGACATTGAGGTTTAGGTGAAATGATTTGTTCAAGGTCACTCAGTAATTTGTTGATATGATGTTTTAACTGAGGTCCAAACCTGCCCTCTTAAACACTGTGTTATGCAGAGCCTCTTGGTCCTGATTTTGCATTTCTATTTTGAGTGTGAGGTTTGGTCAAAACATTGCCTCAGGGCTTGCTAAGTGGATTTAAACATATACATGGCCTTAAACCCAGTGCTTCTGTGAAGTTGTACCTAACAACAGTTGGTGATCCTAAATCTGAACAATTCCGTTTCCAGTATTTCCGTGTCCAGCATCAAGGTTCACTTTGAAAATGTTTTATGCTAACACTGCCCTGTGCTACTGCAGTGGATGACTCTCCAACTGTTTTCCTAAGAGCTAAAGTGTGTAGTCATGTTTCACTCTTAGTTTCTTATTGGTTTGTGTTGCAAGAGTGACCCAAACCCAGTTTTGTGCTTTAGTCTTGATTTTATTTACATCCTTTGTAGCCACTTCTGTGCTAAATGGTTGCCAGGGAGCATCCTGTCCAGCCCTGCCCCTCTGTGCTCCAGCCATCCATCTTTCTCTTTTTCATTTGTTAGTTTTGTAGTTACTTATACATCTAAAAAAGAGAGTAAAAGTAAAACCCACTAGAGGATTATGAGAATTTTAGAAAAACCTTCTAAAGCAAAATAGTGCAGAGGAAGGAAAAGTTAAATGAAATGTTGCTACCTCTGAGTGCAGAAGGTGCACTAGAGGCTCTCCAGACACCTGACAAAACCTTCCTAACAAAAGGCGGTGGGCTCTTAGCCACCCAGGTGTCTAGGCTGGGGTTGAATTTGCAGAATTAGTAACCAGTTGCTGTTTGCTTTGCTTCGCTTCTTTTAGCTTTGTAACAATTGCATCCCTCCACTGCAGAACTCACTGTTTTACAGCTGCTAGAGACTTAGGCTGTTTTCTAGCTTTATTTAAACTAGGAACAGGTAGGCTCACCAGATGATGCTCTTTAAGGGAAGAATGTAATGTGTAACTTTCACTTAAAACGTTAGGTGTACAGTTCTCTCTTCCTGTAACACCAGTCTTTCCATATTAATGTGCTGAGAGTTTAACATGAAAACCTTTTTCCCTCACCAGAAAAAGTGTTTTACTTGCCTAGAATCTAGGAGGATGTTTTTATTGGTGTTTAGAGGAATGAATGGTATTGGGGGTGGAGGGGTGAATATATTTGTTTCTATGATCTTGTATATTTATTAATTTTGTGCAATAACACATGTTAAACTGTTATCATTTTTGCATATTTTTGGAACATCATTATGTTTCTATTTCAGGTGGTGTAGAATCAGAGCTGGAAGGCAGGCAGCTCATGGATCATCTAGTCCAGTGTTTGTGAAACTTCGCAGATGATAAGACTCACTTGGATCACTTATTAAGAATTAGTCCCTAAGCCTCACTCAAAGACCTCCTGAACCAGAATTTCTGGGGAAGGGGGTTTGGGATCCCATATTGTTAATAGTTACTGTGAGGTTAATTCTTACAATTAGGTGAGTTTAAGAAACATCGGTCCAGTCAATCTCTTAAATAGGGAAAGTGACCCCTGAGGAGAGGAAGTTAGATGACTTGCTTAGGGCTGCCCACCTAGCTGGTAGCATCAGCAGGGCTGGAACCTGTGTCCCTGACTGCCCTGGAGTTCTTTCCATTCTAATAAGCCGGCCTTCTAGTTCCACGTTAAAGGTACCTTTAAACTCTTGTTGGCGTTAAAGGCAACTGCATCACTGAAAAAGCAAATATTCAGGTTTGCCATTGGTTTTTATTTGTCGTGTGATTTTGATGTTAATATGTTTGATATCCAGGATTCAAGCCATCTTTGACAGGCATTTCGTTACATAGAAAATAAGTCTGAATGTGTGAGCTTGTTTTATTAGTTTACTTTAATTGAGCTTTTTACTCTGCTAAGGTTAGACTATGAGGGTGTTTTAGGAAATGGGTATTGATACCTAGACTGTTTAAAGCCTCAGGTAGTTAAATGTAAGAGATTTCTTTTTCTTTTGAGTTAACTTGTTTTAGATAT